TTGTAGTTATCAGAGCCTCTCAGTCTGAGCTGTAGTTTCAGAGCCTCTCAGTCTGAGCTGTAGTATCAGCCTCTCAGTCTGAGCTGTAGTTATCTATCTCAGTCTGAGCTGTAGTTATCAGTCTCTCAGTCTGAGCTGTAGTTATCAGAGCCTCTCAGTCTGAGCTGTAGTGATCAGAGTCTCTCAGTCTGAGCTGTAGTGATCAGAGTCTCTCAGTCTGAGCTGGAGTTATCAGAGTCTCTCAGTCCTGACTGTAGTTATCAGAGCCTCTCAGTCTGACTGTAGTTATCAGAGGGCTCTCAGTCTGAGCTGTAGTTATCATAGCCTCTCAGTCTGAGCTGTAGTTATCAGCCTCTCAGTCTGAGCTGTAGTTATCAGAGCCTCTCAGTCTGAGCTGTAGTTATCAGCCTCTCAGTCTGAGCTGTAGTTATCAGCCTCTCAGTCTGAGCTGTAGTTATCTATCTCAGTCTGAGCTGTAGTTATCAGTCTCTCAGTCTGAGCTGTAGTTATCAGAGCCTCTCAGTCTGAGCTGTAGTTATCAGAGTCTCTCAGTCTGAGCTGTAGTTATCTATCTCAGTCTGAGCTGTAGTTATCAGAGTCTCTCAGTCTGAGCTGTAGTTATCAGAGCCTCTCAGTCTGAGCTGTAGTTATCTATCTCAGTCTGAGCTGTAGTTATCAGAGTATCTCAGTCTGAGCTGTAGTTATCAGAGCCTCTCAGTCTGAACTGTAGTTATCAGAGCCTCTCAGTCTGAGCTGTAGTTATCTATCTCAGTCTGAGCTGTAGTTATCTATCTCAGTCTGAGCTGTAGTTATCAGAGCCTCTCAGTCTGAGCTGTAGTTATCAGAGCCTCTCAGTCTGAACTGTAGTTATCAGAGCCTCTCAGTCTGAACTGTAGTTATCTCTCTCAGTCTGAGCTGTAGTTATCAGCCTCTCAATCTGAGCTGTAGTTATCAGCCTCTCAGTCTGAGCTGTAGCTATCAGAGCATCTCAGTCTGAGCTGTAGTTATCAGAGCCTCTCCGTCTGAGCTGTAGTTATCAGAGCCTCTCCGTCTGAGCTGTAGTTATCAGAGCCTCTCAGTCTGAGCTGTAGCTATCAGAGCATCTCAGTCTGAGCTGTAGTTATCAGAGCCTCTCAGTCTGAGCTGTAGTTATCAGAGTCTCTCAGTCTGAGCTGTAGCTATCAGAGCATCTCAGTCTGAGCTGTAGTTATCAGAGCATCTCAGTCTGAGCTGTAGTTATCAGAGCCTCTCAGTCTGAGCTGTAGTTATCAGAGCCTCTCAGTCTGAGCTGTAGTTATCAGAGCCTCTCAGTCTGACAGGAGAGAGCTCTCCACCTTATTGTAGAAACAGCTTCTTATATCCTTTAGAGCAGCTAACTAACTAGAACAATCCCCATATTACGCCCATGCATATACTACAATTACTAAGACAGGCACTGAATATATATATATATATATATATATATATATATATATATATATATACTCTGTGTGACCTCTAGTTGACCTCTGTGTGACCTCTATCCTTAGCTGTTGGGGGGGGGCGACCTCGGAGCAGAGGGAGAACCTGGGGGTCACGACCCCCGACTATTACTACTACCTGAACCAATCGGGAACCTACACCGTGGAGGACATCAATGACAAGAAGGAGTTCACAGACACCATGGTCTGTACCTGTCTGTCTGTACCTTTCTGTCTGTACCTGTCTGTCTGTACCTTTCTGTCTGTACCTGTCTGTCTGTACATGTCTGTCTGTACCTGTCTGTACCTGTACCTTTCTGTCTGTCTCTGTCTGTACCTGTCTGTACCTGTACCTTTCTGTCTGTCTCTGTCTGTACCTTTCTGTCTGTACCTGTCTGTCTGTACCTGTCTGTCTCTCTGTAACCTGTCTGTCTCTCTGTAACCTGTCTTTGTGTCTGTTAACCTGTCTGTCTCTCTGTAACCTGTCTGTCTCTCTGTAACCTGTCTTTGTGTCTGTTAACCTGTCTGTCTCTCTGTAACCTGTCTGTCTCTAAGGAGTGGCGATAAGGCACGTTTTAGAGAGTCAAAGTACGTCTTCAGGGCGGTGAGAGATGCTAAACGACAATACTCTGAGAAGCTCCAACAGCAGCTCTCGGCTAACGACTGCTTCTGTCTGGTGTGGTCTAAAGGCCCGGACACACCAGACTACTGGTGTGGTCTGAAGGCCCGGACACACCAGACTACTGGTGTGGTCTGAAGGCCCGGACACACCAGACTACTGGTGTGGTCTGAAGGCCCGGACACACCAGACTACTGGTGTGGTCTAAAGGCCCGGACACACCAGACTACTGGTGTGGTCTAAAGGCCCGGACACACCAGACTACTGGTGTGGTCTAAAGGCCCGGACTGCTTCTGTCTGGTGTGGTCTGAAGGCCCGGACTGCTTCAGTCTGGTGTGGTCTAAAGGCCCGGACTGCTTCAGTCTGGTGTGGTCTGAAGGCCCGGACTGCTTCAGTCTGGTGTGGTCTAAAGGCCCGGACACACCAGACTACTGGTGTGGTCTAAAGGCCCGGACACACCAGACTACTGGTGTGGTCTAAAGGCCCTACACACCAGACTACTGGTGTGGTCTAAAGGCCCGGACACACCAGACTACTGGTGTGGTCTAAAGGCCCGGACACACCAGACTACTGGTGTGGTCTAAAGGCCCGCACACACCAGACTACTGGTGTGGTCTAAAGGCCCTACACACCAGACTACTGGTGTGGTCTAAAGGCCCTACACACCAGTAGTCTGGTGTGGTCTAAAGGCCCGGACACACCAGACTACTGGTGTGGTCTAAAGGCCCGGACACACCAGACTACTGGTGTGGTCTAAAGGCCCGCACACACCAGACTACTGGTGTGGTCTAAAGGCCCTACACACCAGTAGTCTGGTGTGGTCTAAAGGCCCGGACACACCAGACTACTGGTGTGGTCTAAAGGCCCGCACACACCAGACTACTGGTGTGGTCTAAAGGCCCTACACACCAGACTACTGGTGTGGTCTAAAGGCCCTACACACCAGTAGTCTGGTGTGGTCTAAAGGCCCGGACTGCTTCAGTCTGGTGTGGTCTAAAGGCCCGGACACACCAGACTACTGGTGTGGTCTAAAGGCCCGGACTGCTTCAGTCTGGTGTGGTCTAAAGGCCCGGACACACCAGACTACTGGTGTGGTCTAAAGGCCCGGACACACCAGACTACTGGTGTGGTCTAAAGGCCCGGACACACCAGACTACTGGTGTGGTCTAAAGGCCCTACACACCAGACTACTGGTGTGTAGGGCCTTTAGACCACACCAGACTACTGGTGTGGTCTAAAGGCCCTACACACCAGACTACTGGTGTGGTCTAAAGGCCCTACACACCAGACTACTGGTGTGGTCTAAAGGCCCGGACACACCAGACTACTGGTGTGGTCTAAAGGCCCGGACACACCAGACTGACACCAAAGAACACCTTGGACCCGACTGTTGTCGCCTCACGTCTCTGCGTCTTGGCCATGTGTCGCTCTGGAACACACCGCAAAGACTTCAGCCGACGGCCAAGTAGCACGTACGCACTGCGCATGCGTGAGTGGCAATAACTCTCCTTACCAGCAGGCGGCGGTAGTGTGTATTCGTCATTCAAAAGAGGCAACCGGAAGACAGACTGCGTGATAACAGAGAGAAGAAGAACAGACTGCGTGATAACCGAGAGAAGAAGAACAGACTGCGTGATAACAGAGAGAAGAAGAACAGACTGCGTGATAACCGAGAGAAGAAGAACAGACTGCGTGATAACAGAGAGAAGAAGAACAGACTGCGTGATAACCGAGAGAAGAAGAACAGACTGCGTGATAACCGAGAGAAGAAGAACAGACTGCGTGATAACAGAGAGAAGAAGAACAGACTGCGTGATAACAGAGAAGAAGAAGAACAGACTGCGTGATAACAGAGAAGAAGAACAGACTGCGTGATAACCGAGAGAAGAAGAACAGACTGCGTGATAACAGAGAGAAGAAGAACAGACTGCGTGATAACAGAGAGAAGAAGAACAGACTGCGTGATAACCGAGAGAAGAAGAACAGACTGCGTGATAACAGAGAGAAGAAGAACAGACTGCGTGATAACAGAGAAGAAGAAGAACAGACTGCGTGATAACAGAGAGAAGAAGAACAGACTGCGTGATAACAGAGAGAAGAAGAACAGACTGCGTGATAACAGAGAGAAGAAGAACAGACTGCGTGATAACAGAGAGAAGAAGAACAGACTGCGTGATATATACAAACAACAAATAGCGTGCGTTCCATGTTCACTCTCGTCCATCACAGACGGTTTCACATAACGACTTATCGAAAACATGTTTAGTGCGGTACTGGAAAATGAAAAATAATAGCCGTCTGTGTGTGCCTTCTTCACTTCCGTTTCGCTTCTCATGCTCTGATTCGCTAAGCTGAACAGCCAATCAGAGTGATTTCTTTTGCCGACAGCCTCCCTATTCAACATGTTGAATCTCTGCAACCTGTCTGTCTCCCTGCAACCTGTCTGTCTCCCTGCAACCTGTCTGTCTCCCTGCAACCTGTCTGTCTCCCTGCAACCTGTCTGTCTCTCTTTAACCTGTCTGTCTCCCTGCAGGAGGCCATGTCAGTTGTCGGTCTGTCCTCTGAGGACCAGGACTCTGTCCTCCAGCTGGTTGCAGCTATTCTTCATTTGGGGAACATCAGCTTCAGAGAAGAGAACAACTACGCAGTGGTGGAGAGCCAGGACTGTGAGATACTACATATATATACTATATAGTATATACACACTACACTATGGGCCTGTCTGTCCCTCTCTGTCCCTCTCTGTCAGTTCTGGCGTTCCCGTCCTTCCTGCTGGGCGTCCCTCAGGACGGTCTGTAACTCTCTGTCTGTCCCTGTCAGTTCTGGCGTTCCCGTCCTTCCTGCTGGGCGTCCCTCAGGACGGTCTCTGCAGTAAACTCACCAGCAGGATGATGGACAGTAAGTGGGGCGGAAAGACGGAGTCCATCTCTGTGACGATGAGCACGGAACAGGCCTGCTTCTCCAGAGACGCTCTGTCCAAAGCTGTGTACACACGGCTGTTCGACTACCTGGTGGACGTGAGTACTCTATATACTTTGGAGAAAAAAGTCTGAATTGTGAGGAAAGTCAGAATTTTTAGACATGAAGAAAAGTCTGAATTTGGGCATTTAGGAAAAAGTCAACATTTTGAGAAGAAAGTCAGAATTTTGATAATCAAGTCAGGATTTGGGCATTTTGTGAAAAAGTTAAAACATTTAAAATCTTGAGGAAAAAGTCAACATTTTTTCAAAAAGTCAATTTCTTTTTAAAAGTCAATTTTTTTTCTCCAAAAAAGTCAGAATTTGGAGTAAAAGGGAAACATTTTGAAAAAAAATCGTGATAATGAGAATCAAGCCAGAAATTGGGCATTTTGTGAAAAAGTCCAAATAAAAAAATTGCGGAAAAAGTCAGATTCTTTTTTGAAAAAAGTCAGAAATTTGAGAAAAAATTCTAAATATGAGAAAAGTCAGAATTGTAATGGAAACGTTTTTTGTTTACATGTTTAACTTGTCTTTACACTGTGTTTACACTGTGTTGGTCTTCACGCCGTGTTTACACAGTGTTGGTCTTCACGCTGTGTTTACACTGTGTTGGTCTTCACGCCGTGTTTACACAGTGTTGGTCTTCACGCTGTGTTTACACTGTGTTGGTCTTCACGCCGTGTTTACACAGTGTTGGTCTTCACGCCGTGTTTACACAGTGTTGGTCTTCACGCCGTGTTTACACAGTGTTGGTCTTCACGCCGTGTTTACACTGTGTTGGTCTTCACGCCGTGTTTACACTGTGTTGGTCTTCACGCCGTGTTTACACAGTGTTGGTCTTCACGCTGTGTTCACACTGTGTTCACACTGTGTTCACACTGTGTTTACACTGTGTTTACACTGTGTTTACACTGTGTTTACACTGTGTTGGTCTTCACGCTGTGTTTACACTGTGTTTACACTGTGTTTACACTGTGTTTACACTGTGTTGGTCTTCACACTGTGTTCACGCTGTGTTCACGCTGTGTTTACGCTGTGTTTACGCTGTGTTTACACTGTGTTTACACTGTGTTTACACTGTGTTTACACTGTGTTTACACTGTGTTAGTCTTTACACTGTGTTTACGCTGTGTTAGTCTTTACGCTGTGTTTACGCTGTGTTAGTGTTTACGCTGTGTTTACGCTGTGTTTACGCTGTGTTAGTGTTTACGCTGTGTTTACGCTGTGTTTACGCTGTGTTGATATGTTTATGTTATGGTCTGTATTGGCAGTGCATCAATAAAGCCATACAGAAGGATCAGGAGGAGTTCAACATCGGAGTCCTCGACATCTACGGCTTCGAGATCTTCCAGGTAGAAACATGGTCACATGACTCTAAAGGTGTGAGCTGATTGGTGTTCATACAGATGGAACTACCAGGGTCAACACGATGCCTTCATGAACCCTGTGTTAAATACCAAATGTGGACCTTATTGAAATCATCTCTCTCTCTTCCAGAGAAACGGCTTCGAGCAGTTCTGCATCAACTTTGTGAACGAGAAGCTGCAGCAGATCTTCATCGAGCTCACGCTGAAGGCAGAGCAGGTAAGACTCGTAGTGCTACCTTATCATAGCGTGAACAGACAACATTACATCATTAGCATATCATCGCAGTGTTGACATTACCTCAGATGTTTGGGAGGTAACCCCTGCCTGTTTCTGCAGGAGGAGTACGTGCAGGAGGGGATCCAATGGACGCCCATCGAGTATTTCAACAACAAAGTGGTCTGTGACCTCATCGAGTCCAAACTGGTGAGTCTGTTCTTCAACACGTAGAAAACATGTTCTCATCCACACACTACGACCACTACTCTCCACACACACACGCACACGCACACGCACACGCACACGCACACTCTCTCAAAGATATTGAAGTGTTATTTTGTATATATTGATTGTTGTGCTTTTATTTATGTGTGCATATGTATAAATGTGTCTGTTGATTTTGTATATATATATATATATATGTGTATATATATATATATATATATATATATGTATTTTTGTATTTGGGATTGTGGGAAACAGTATTTCGATCTCTCTCTCTGTACACACAGTTTGAAAGATTGACAATAAAATTGACTTTACTTTTTGACTACTAGCATCTAATGCATGAATACACGTGTTTCCCAGAACCCCCCTGGGCTGATGAGCATCCTGGACGACGTGTGTGCGACGATGCACGCTAAAAGTGATGGCGCGGACCAGACACTGCTGCAGAAGCTGCAGGGTCAGATGGGCTCGCACGAGCACTTCAGCAGCTGGAACAAGGGCTTCATCGTGCACCACTACGCCGGGAAGGTAACTGCTAACACCTGAACGCTGCTAACACCTGAACGCACTGCTAACACCTGAACGCTGCTAACACCTGAACGCACTGCTAACACCTGAACGCACTGCTAACACCTGAACGCACTGCTAACACCTGAACGCACTGCTAACACCTGAACACCGCTAACACCTGAACGCACTGCTAATACCTGAACGCACTGCTAACACCTGAACGCACTGCTAACACCTGAACACCGCTAACACCTGAACGCACTGCTAATACCTGAACGCACTGCTAACACCTGAACGCACTGCTAACACTAACACCTGAACGCACTGCTAACACTAACACCTGAACGCACTGCTAACACCTGAACGCACTGCTCACACCTGAACGCACTGCTAACACCTGAACGCACTGCTCACACCTGAACGCACTGCTAACACCTGAACGCACTGCTAACACTAACACCTGAACGCACTGCTAACACTAACACCTGAACGCACTGCTCTAACACCTGAACGCACTGCTAACACCTGAACGCACCGCTCTAACACCTGAACGCACCGCTCTAACACCTGAACGCACCGCTAACACCTGAACGCACCGCTAACACCTGAACGCCGCTAACACCTGAACGCACCACTCTAACACCTGAACGCACCGCTAACACCTGAACGCACTGCTCTAACACCTGAACGCACCACTCTAACACCTGAACGCACCGCTAACACCTGAACGCACCGCTAACACCTGAACGCACTGCTCTAACACCTGAACGCACTGCTAACACCTGAACACCGCTAACACCTGAACGCACCGCTCTAACACCTGAACGCACCGCTCTAACACCTGAACGCACCGCTCTAACACCTGAACACCGCTAACACCTGAACGCACCGCTCTAATACCTGAACGCACCGCTCTAATACCTAAACGCACCGCTCTAACACCTGAACGCACCGCTCTAATACCTGAACGCACCGCTAACACCTGAACGCACCGCTCTAACACCTGAACGCACCGCTCTAACACCTGAACGCACACCGCTAACACCTGAACACCGCTAACACCTGAACGCACCGCTCTAATACCTGAACGCACCGCTCTAACACCTGAACGCACCGCTCTAACACCTGAACGCACCGCTAACTCCTGAACGCACCGCTAACTCCTGAATGCACCGCTAACACCTGAACGCACCGCTAACTCCTGAACGCACCGCTAACACCTCTGTCTGTCTGTCTGCAGGTGTCCTATGATGTCAGTGGTTTCTGTGAGAGGAACAGAGACGTGTTGTTTAATGACATCATCGAGCTGATGCAGAGCAGCGAGTTGTAAGTACTACACACAGAGCAGCAGGATGTCGTATTCCTGTGTTGGTCCCTGAAGGCAGCATCTCCCTGGTCCAATGGGATTCCGCCGTGTGATTTTGGATTATGTCAGAAAATAATCTCTGTGTCAAACAAACGTTTCTGATACTGACACGTTTATTCAGCGGGATAATCTCCACATATTGATGACGTTTAGTCGTCTCATTTAGACTCTTGTTAGCGACCTCAGTTTTAAACTCACCAGTGACGTATTAACTGACGTATTAACTGACGTATTTACTGACGTATTAACTGACGTATTAACTGACGTATTTACTGACGTATTAACTGAGGTATTTATTGACGTATTTACTGACGTATTTACTGACGTATTTACTGACGTATTTACTGACATATTAACTGACGTATTAACTGACGTATTAACTGACGTATTAACTGACGTATTAACTGACTTATTAACTGACGTATTAACTGACGTAACTGACGTATTAACTGACGTATTAACTGACGTATTAACTGACGTATTAACTGACGTATTAACTGACGTATTAACTGACGTATTAACTGACGTATTAACTGACTTATTAACTGACGTATTAACTGACGTATTAACTGACGTATTAACTGACGTATTAACTGACGTATTTACTGACGTATTTACTGACGTATTTACTGACGTATTTACTGACGTATTTACTGACGTATTAACTGACGTATTTACTGACGTATTTACTGACGTATTAACTGACGTATTTACTGACGTATTTACTGACGTATTAACTGACGTATTAACTGACGTATTAACTGACGTGTTTACTGACGTGTTTACTGACGTGTTTACTGACGTGTTAACTGACGTGTTAACTGACGTATTTACTGACGTATTTACTGACGTATTTACTGACGTGTTTACTGACGTGTTTACTGACGTGTTAACTGACGTGTTTACTGACGTGTTTACTGACGTGTTAACTGACGTATTAACTGACGTGTTTACTGACGTGTTAACTGACGTGTTAACTGACGTGTTAACTGACGTGTTTACTGACGTGTTTACTGACGTGTTTACTGACGTGTTAACTGACGTGTTAACTGACGTATTTACTGACGTATTTACTGACGTATTTACTGACGTATTAACTGACGTATTAACTGACGTATTTACTGACGTATTTACTGACGTATTTACTGACGTATTAACTGACGTATTAACTGACGTATTTACTGACGTATTTACTGACGTATTTACTGACGTGTTTACTGACGTGTTAACTGACGTGTTTACTGACGTGTTTACTGACGTATTAACTGACGTATTTACTGACGTATTAACTGACGTATTTACTGATGTATTTTATGTGGGAGAAGTCACATTCCTGCCGCAGACTTCTACAGTGTTTATTTGTGTGTGTATTTGTGTGTGTGTGGGGGGGGGTTGAACATTGATCACTGTCTGTGGTGTGTTTGTGGTCAGTCCGTTCGTCAGAGCTCTGTTTCCTGAGAACCTGGACGCAGAGAAGAGGGGGCGACCGAGCACTGCCAGCACTAAGATCAAGGTGAGAGAGGCTGTGGTGCCCCCCGCAGGTTCAGAGAGAGCATGTCATATTTTTCACTTTTTCTGTCAGTTTTCTTTGAGGGGTTTTATCAAGTGTTCAGGATCCCCAGAGCCTCCTCTAGAGGGCGCTGCTGGTAGTACAGGCTGTGCTACAGAGTGTCTCTGCCTGTGTAGCACCAACTCTTGGTTGGAGTGTCACGTTTAAAGGTCCCCTATTATGCAAAACCCACTTCTTCGTGTCTCTTATACATAAACATGAGTCCACTCTGTGTTCAGAGACTCTGAAACAGAAACAAAGACCCTCTCTCTTTTTGTCTGAAAATCAGCTGATCAGATTTGGTGACTTTGTGATGTCACAATGTTTTTTTGGGTTGTGTAACCATTAACCAATCACCAACCAAGGTAACCCCCCCCCCCCCCACACGACGTTATCACCTGAATCTCCTCCTACAGCACCATTGTATAGGTATATATTGCACAGTTATTAACGGCATATATATATATATTAACCGGCAGTGGCTCAGTCAGTAGGGGCTTGGACTGTGAGCCGTAGGGTCGCCGGTTCAAGTCCCCGACCAGACCTAAAATATCAGTGTGGACTGCTACTTGGAGAGGTCCCAGTTCACCTCCTGCCCTGCCGTGGTACCCTTGAGCAAGGCACCGGACATCCCCCTTCCCCCCCCCACTCCCATTGCTCCCCGGGCGCTGTGCAATAGCTGCCCACTGCTCCTAGTACTAGACTCCTGGTGCTAGACTCCTGGTTCTAGACTCCTGGTGCTAGACTCCTGGTGCTAGACTCCTGGTATTAGACTCCTGGTGCTAGACTCCTGGTGCTAGACTCCTGGTGCTAGACTCCTGGCGCTAGACTCCTGGCACTAGACTCCTGGCACTAGACTCCTGGCTCTAGACTCCTGGTGCTAGACTCCTGGTGCTAGACTCCTGGCGCTAGACTCCTGGTGCTAGACTCCTGGTGCTAGACTCCTGGTTCTAGACTCCTGGTGCTAGACTCCTAGTACTAGACTCCTGGTGCTAGACTCCTGGTGCTAGACTCCTGGCGCTAGACTCCTGGTGCTAGACTCCTGGTGCTAGACTCCTGGTTCTAGACTCCTGGTACTAGACTCCTGGTGCTAGACTCCTGGTACTAGACTCCTGGTACTAGACTCCTGGTGCTAGACTCCTGGTTCTAGACTCCTGGCACTAGACTCCTGGCACTAGACTCCTGGCTCTAGACTCCTGGTGCTAGACTCCTGGCGCTAGACTCCTGGTGCTAGACTCCTGGTGCTAGACTCCTGGTGCTAGACTCCTGGTGCTAGACTCCTAGTACTAGACTCCTGGTGCTAGACTCCTGGTGCTAGACTCCTGGTTCTAGACTCCTGGTGCTAGACTCCTAGTACTAGACTCCTGGTGCTAGACTCCTGGTGCTAGACTCCTGGCGCTAGACTCCTGGCGCTAGACTCCTGGCGCTAGACTCCTGGCGCTAGACTCCTGGTACTAGACTCCTGGTGCTAGACTCCTGGTTCTAGACTCCTGGTACTAGACTCCTGGTGCTAGACTCCTGGTACTAGACTCCTGGTACTAGACTCCTGGTGCTAGACTCCTGGCGCTAGACTCCTGGCGCTAGACTCCTGGCGCTAGACTCCTGGCGCTAGACTCCTGGTGTTAGACTCCTGGCGTTAGACTCCTGGCGCTAGACTCCTGGCGCTAGACTCCTGGCGCTAGACTCCTGGCGCTAGACTCCTGGCGTTAGACTCCTGGCGTTAGACTCCTGGTACTAGACTCCTGGTGCTAGACTCCTGGCGCTAGACTCCTGGCGTTAGACTCCTGGCGTTAGACTCCTGGCGCTAGACTCCTGGTGCTAGACTCCTGGCGCTAGACTCCTGGTGTTAGACTCCTGGCATTAGACTCCTGGTACTAGACTCCTGGTGCTAGACTCCTGGCGCTAGACTCCTGGCGTTAGACTCCTGGCGCTAGACTCCTGGCGTTAGACTCCTGGCGTTAGACTCCTGGTACTAGACTCCTGGTACAAATGTCACTGTGTGCTGTGTGCTCTGCATGTGTGACCATTAAAGAGGGTTAAATGCCTCCCAATTCTTCTATATATTGCATATACTGCACATAGTTGGTATTTAACAACAAGGGGGTGTTATAGTCTGTGTTGTTGTGTGTGGTGATTAAATACAAACCCCCCCCCCCCTTCTCTCTCTGTTCTAGCAACAAGCCAACAGTCTGGTGCAGACCCTGATGAAATGCACTCCCCACTACATCCGCTGCATCAAACCCAACGAGACGAAGCGTCCCCGGGACTGGGAGGAGAACCGGGTCCACCACCAGGTGGAGTACCTGGGCCTGCGGGAGAACATCCGGGTCCGCCGCGCCGGCTACGCCTACAGACGCGTCTTCAACAAGTTCCTGCACAGGTCAGAGGTCACGCAGTAACCTGAGTGTAGTCCTAACCTGCTGCTCTCCGTGCTCCTCAGTCCAGGCCATTAGTCGAGTTGCCTTCGGAAACTGGTTTCTGTTTCAAAGCTACATCTTTGGTGAATCAACCTGATTCTGATGGTTCAGATCTCAATCACCAGCTCTGGTGCACTAAAAGCTGAATCCAGATTTATTTTTCAAATAATTTTACATTTATTTTCAATCTAATATTGAATATTCCATTCCTCACATTATGTATATATAATATCCTGCTTTATATTTTGTTACTGTACATTTCTAATTCAAAATGTAGATTTTTTTCTTTTAATTTCTCTAATGTGCATTGCCTTGTCTTTTTATTTCATACTTACTGATCGCCAGAGGCGGTGCTTTAGCACTGGATATCTTCTGTCTCGCGCATGCGTAGGTCGAATATTTATATCAACAAAGTCACGTGTGACCCCGTATGACACCGGAAGGTATAAGTTCCGGTGCTGTCAAAGGCTGCGACGAGTTGTCCGTCCTACCAAGGGAGGGGACCGCGGTGTTCACCGCCCGGACCCCAGGAGCTCCGGACCGGTAAAGAGCGGACGCTCCTGCACACAGCCGGTGAGATCGCTACCAATTATTGCTGAGTGTGCTATATCTATATACTCTCAAACTAATGAGATAATTGTGTACAAATTAACCGAGGGCTCTCGCTAATTTGTTACTGTTACCTGTACTATCATCCAGTTATCTGAGTGCTCCCGCTGAAAGCTAACTTTCTACTGCACTAGTGAAGGGAGCGTCTCCGCCCTCCTCCTCACTACATACTTTTGGTTCTTTACCTGTACTATCATCCAGTTAGCTGAGTGCTCCCGCTGAAAGCTAACTTTCTACTGCACTAGTGAAGGGAGCGTCTCCGCCCTCCTGCTCACTACATACTTTTGGTTCTTTGATTGATTGATTGATTGAAAAGTTTATTAACAGCTTGTATATTGGGTACAGTACAGTACAGCTCAAAACATACAATTGTTAAGGGGATGCAGACCAGAGAAAGACTTTCGTCTTGTTTACATCAGGGTCCCCCATTTCCAATTCATCATATCATTTAAGACATATAAGACATATATGACATACAGATGGCTTATTTACAATTTACATACAGGTGGTTTTTTACATACAGATGGATTATTTACAATTTTCATTTTAGATTTCGTTCTAATACATCCTAACCGGACATTTAAGACATACCAAGTCTACAGATATACAGTTAGTAACAGAGTCTAAAATGCGAGTATATACATAGATGGGGGGGGGAAGCTGTCCATTGTACGACAGGTTGAGATTTGTACCATTACCGGGGCCAGTTTTGCAATGCTTTCCCCGAAGGTGCTCTTTAAGAGAGGTTTTGAAGGTAAGTATAGTTTTACTTTCCTTTACAGTTGTGGGAAGAGCGTTCCACCTTGATGTGGCATAATTGCGAAACGTGTATTCCCCTTTTTTTGTGCCAAATCTGGGTTTTACATGATTTGTGGAGCTCCCTCTGGTGTTATGATCATGGTATTCCTTGACCTTTGGGAAGAATTTTGACATGTACATGGGTACCATAGAGGTGTAGTGGATCTTGTAGACCAGGCCCATTGCAAGTAGCTGTACTCTGTCGTCTACTCTAAGCCATCCTAGGTTGTCAAAGTGGGCAGAGGTGAGGTGGGTTCTAGATGAAAGGTCAAGCAGTAGTCTGACCAGTTTATTTTGCGATGTTTGAAGTTTTGTTTTTAGCGCCTTGGAGGTGCTATGGTACCATGACGTGCAAGCATAGTCATAGTACCCTTGAATGAGTGCTCCTGCCAGAGTTTTCAGGGTGTTTTTGTTTACCAGAGAGGAGATCCGGTATAGGAATCTAGTTCTTTGATTGACTTTTTTTATTACATTGGATGCCATTATGTCACAGGAGAGGTTTGCCTCAAGAATAGATCCTAGGTATGTAATTTCCTTCTTACTTGTGACAATAATGTCACCCACTGCAACTGAGAAGTCGTCGGATTTGCTGAGATTATGTTTCGAACCGAAGAGAATGGACTCTGTTTTACCCAGGTGTAATGATAATTTATTATCGGCGAGCCAGGTGCAGATTCTGCCGAGCTCGGAGCTGAGGGTTTTTTCAACCTGCAATCTGCTCCTGTCAGAGACCAGCAGGGCTGAGTCGTCCGCGAACAGGAACAAGTTGCAGTCACATGCTGATGACATGTCATTTGCATAAATTAGGAACAGTAACGGACCTAATATGCTTCCTTGTGGAACACCACAGCTCACTGGGAGGGGGGGGGACAGAGTACCGTTTACCTCCACCATCTGTTCTCTCCCCTCCAGGTAGGATTGCATCCAGCTCACCGATAGTTTATCAAAACCAATTGCTTTTAGCTTGTCAATCAGAATGGGGTGATTGACAGTGTCGAAAGCCTTTTGTAGGTCCAGCATCACCATGCCGCAGTATTTACCCTCGTCCACCTCTTGTTTGATGTGGTCGGTCAAATAAAGAAGGCATGTGTCAGTGGAGTGGGATGTTCTAAAGCCAGATTGAAATTCATAGATTAGTTTCTTTTCTGCGAGGTACTTTTCGACCTGTTCATATACTATTTTTTCCATGACTTTCGAGATGGAGGTAAGTATAGAAACAGGGCGGTAGTTGCCTGGGTCCAATTTGCTGCCCTTTTTGTGCAGGGGGGTTACTCTTGCAATTTTGAAGTCTTTGGGTACTTTTCCCTGTTTTATGGAGAGGTTAATTATGTGAGCTATGACTGGTGAGATGGCGGTTGCTGTGTCTCTGAGGAATTTGGAGGGGATATTGTCGTGGCCAGTGGCCTTGTTAGGTTTGAGGGCGCTCAGTTTAATGAGTACCTCTGCTGTTGTTACCCTTGCTAGACTGAAATCATCTTTGCGTACCCCTAGGTTTTTGTAGTAGGTCATGATGTGATCTACTCCAAAAAGCCCTGAGTGGGAGGGTAATTTATTTACAAGAGTTGTGGCTATGTTTGTGAAAAAAATGTTCAAGTACTTGGCCACATCCAGTTTGTCTGTGATGAGCCTGTTATCTGTCTTTATGTTTACGTTTGAAAATCTCGTTTTGAGTTTTTTACTGCAGCCAAGCTGGTTATTGAGTAATTTCCAAAGTTCACGGGGTTTATTTTTGTTTTCCTCAGTTTTGTCATTGATGAAATTCTTTTTGGCAGTTTTGATCATGGAGCTTACGTCATTTCTTAGTCTGTTTCTTTCAATTTTTAGTTCAGTCACGTGGGCCTGGAGTTCACTGCTCGTGCTTTTGGAAAGCATTGACTGACTTTTATGAAACTCAGAGCATTTTTTGTCTCTGGTTTTCATGGCGGTCAGTATGCCGGAGTGCATCCACGGCTCAGCGCGATTTTTTACCCTGGTTGTTCTTAGGGGGGCCAAATCATTGAGTATTGCAGAGAATTTGTTTTTGAAACCAAGCCATGTTTCTTCAACTTGTGTACCACTGAGCTCATCTGACCAGTCCAGGCTCTCCAGTTCTAGGTTAAAGGCCTCGCTAGAGTAGTTTTTGAGGTCTCTAGATATGACTGTTTTGTGACAGCCGGCCTTTTGTTTTAGCTTTTTGCGGGTACAGAATATCATATAATGATCACTTAAACCGCATGCTATAACCCCTTTACTGGAGATCCTGGACCTGTCAGAGGTCAGAATGAGATCAATGGTAGTTTGTGTTGTTTCACATACCCGGGTGGGTTGGGTGATTAGCTGGCTGAAGCCGTGCAGATCACAAATCCTACTGAAGGACTTGAAGACGGACGTGTCTTTACGTTGCATATCCGTGTTCCAGTCTCCAATAATAATTGTCTCTACATCCCCCACATCAGCCAAACACCCATCTAATGTATCATAAAAGTCACTCTGTTCCGGTGGTCTATAGATTGTCCCGACTATTACAGATTTAGCATTGTCAAAAAGAATTTCAACCCACACAGATTCAATATTTTCATGATGCAGGTCAGTACGGTTTTTGAAATTGGTGTCTTTATGTATGTACATGCAGACACCACCTCCATTCACGTTCCTGTCCCTTCTCACTACAAGATAATCTTCAATTTCAATCTCTGAATCTGTAATGGAATTGTCCAATTTGGTCTCAGAAAAGCATAATATGCTTGCCTTACCGTTCATGAACAGTTGCCTGAGTTCAGCCAGTTTGTGTCTCAGGCTGTTAGTGTTCAGATGAAAAATATGTAGTCCATTTTTGTTGTTTAAATGCATAATGTCGTCAGCTTGAAGATATTTGTCTTTGTCCGTTACAGCAAACGGCTTGCGGCCTGCCGTGGTGCTTGGAGCGGTGGGGTGGTGGGGGGAGGGAGGCTCCGTTGTAGCTTTAGCCGTCGATATGCTAGCAGGGTGGCTAACAACATGGTGGATATTTGTTCCCTCGGATCTCGGTTCTCTTCCTCTCGTCACTGCCTCATGCGTGTCTGTCTGCCGAGGCGTCCCCGGGGGAATGTCGAAGTCTCCGTTGATTCCTCGGTCTCCGCTGTCTCCATGGTCTCTGTTGTCGTCGCGTAGTTGTTGCTGTAGCGGAAGAGATGCTAGTTGTGATGCTAGTTGTGATGCTAGCTCCTCCAGCCTGCAGGACTGGCTTCTTGTCTGCACCGGGCCCGGATTCAGATGGATGTCTCCCGCTAACAATAAGACCAAGACGATCATACTTCTTCGGTCTAGTTTGCCTGACGGGGGTAAGTACTTTCGCGTCGGGTTTGCAGTTAATAATGCATGAATGCTTGCACTTCCAAAAGCGAGGTGTTTCCTTTCCCAGCCGTTGAGAAGGTAAAAGTCATTGTGGTTCATTTTATCCCCGCTTTCATTACTCTCCTTCACTAAGTGATGTTGCCTCATTGATGAGTTGAGGTAGGAGTCCATAATCCATATTGTCAGGAGGATGAAATATGTGAAAAATCGTGAGGAATAACCTCCAATGCGGGAGCTCTCGGAA